TGTTATTGTTAAGTGCCATCGAGTCGATTCCGGCCCATAGCAACCCTGTATAGGGTTTCTGAGGAGCAGCTGGTGAGCTCGAACCGCGGACCTTGCAGTTCAAACAGCTTTGCAGTCTGGCACATTGACCCACAGCGCCACACCATTATGTCCTTCTTGTGTTGTTGTGAAGTGGTCACTCTAATAGACCTAGCTAGATCTTCAGTTAAATAAACAAACCATTAGGCTGAGAAACTGTGTTAAAATGGGCACGATCAGCAAATTATTAATTAATCTAGTCACATGAGAATTTTAGCCTTGACAAAGATACTCCAGGGGGAGAGAAATTAAAAAATATTCCAGTCCAAAGAAGCCACTCCCCCGATCAATGACTCACTCTATAAAGCGTAAAATGTTTACTCCAGTTCAGATCTTTAGGGGCTCAACAGGAATTTGAATGAAACATTCTTTAGACTCCATCCTAGGTCAGGAGGGAAGAGTTTTCATCACCTGGATGACTGTTTACATCTGGCATACCCTCCTCTCCAGTCCTGTCACTTGACGCCAGTTTGAGGGGATGGGGCTATGGTGGTTAACTGCTCAGCTGTTAACTACAAGGTCAGTGGTTCAAACCCACCACTCGCTTGTGAGAAAAAGGTGAGTCTGTCTACTTTTATATGATTTCCAGACTTGGAAATCCTCTGGAGGCAGTTCTATCTATCCTATAGGGTCACTATGAGTCAGTATTGACTTAGCGGCAGTGGGATTTTGGCAAGTTTGAGGGGAAGGAGTCCTGGTGGTACAACAGTTAAGCACTTGGCTACTAACTTAAAGGTGGACAGTTTGAACACACCCATGGTTCCTCCAGAGAAAGAGCTGGTGATTTGCTCCTGTAAAGATTGGTGTTGCTGTTAAGTGCCTTAGAGTTGGCTCCAACCCACAGCGACTCTGTATAGGGTTTCCAAGGAGTGGCTGGTGAGCTTGAATCGCTGATCTTACAGTTCAACCTGACTTTGCAGCCCAGCGCATTAACCCAAGATGTCACAGCCAAAGAATCTCTATGGAGACGTTCTAGTCTGTCACATGGATGGTGAGTCATAATCAAGTCGATTGTACCCAACAACAACAATTTGAGGTGAAAAGCAAGAATCTTTGCTGAGGAGCTGCTGAGAGCTCATTTGTGGATTCTACCCCATTAACGCACATACACACACACACACACACACACACACACACACACACACAGGCTCCAAGGAGCACTGAGCCCCCAGGTGACAAGGAAGACATTGGGAGAAGCCTCTGTGCATTCCTGGATGCACACTGGCCTTTGCTGTCATTCCTTCACTGAACACAAACTCACTTGGATGGCCTATCCTTTATGCAATAGTGGGTAAAAACAGCCCCTGCCCACAGGGAGTTTACAGTCTAACAAGTTAGACAGTTACACAGGTAACTAAGAGTAATAGCTCACATTTAGAATATAATGCTTGCTCTGGAGGTCCTGCAGGATCCACCCTGCCCTCACTGATCTTATCCTCTGCCACTCTGCTTTAGCCACGCTGGACATCTCACGGTTCCTAAAAGGCCAACCCTGTTCCCGACTCAGGGCCTTGGCACTAAACTGTACCGCCTCAGTGCTTGAAACACTCTTCCACCCATTCCTTTAACCTGCTCAGATGCCACCTCATCAGAGAGAATTTTCTTCATTACCTTCTTCTACTTTGTTTTCTATTCTCACACCATGCTTGCTTTAAAAATACTTATCATTATTGGAACTTAAATCAGGCACTGACAGTATGACTCTTCCTCTGTGTAAGTGCAGAAGGGCAGGCCCTTCTCTGTCCTGGTCATTGGAGTCTTCCCAGAACAACAAAGTTGGTGCTCAACAGAGATTGGTTGTTAAAGAAGTGCAGAGATAAAGGAAGTATAGGGTGTTAAGAGGTCTCATTCTGGGGTGAAGAGCTAAGGTCTCCCAGAGAAAGTGACATTTGTGGGATTTACCCAGGTTTTTTTAAAGAGAATGTCAGAGGAGGGAAGGCAGAGAAAGCAAGGAAGGGTGGCCATAGAAATTGTGTCAGAATGCTGGGCCAGCAATTTCTGGATGATTGCAAAACCTTGGCAAAAGGCTAAAGAGCAGTTAAAGAGTCCTCACATCTGGACTTCAGGAAAGTATCTGCTAATTTTGGACGGAAGCTTGCCCCCAACAGAGCTGCCTCTGGAAAGGGCTCCTCAGAGAGACTGGACTTTTAGAGGGAGACACACTGCCGAATGGCGCCATCTTGTGGCCAGAAGCTGGTGGTTTTAGGTATCTGGTCCAACACTGCGTATCTGATTCTTTCTCTGACCAAAAAACAAAAAACGACCCCCTGTGGCGAGGTTGATCTATTGGCAAAACTGCTCTTCTGTATTGACATTTTAAACTATTGTATCTCTTTTTAAGAACTGAGCTCTATTGGACAATCGCTGAACAATCATAGCAGTATTGAACGGATGCATCCTCTGCTCTTGGGACATATTGTGTATGCAGGGATGGAGAAGCCAGTAAGTAAGGTAAGCACTTGCTTAGCTTGCTTACTGGGAATCTGACCCTGTGAGGGACTGTAAATCTGAAAATGAAGCTTTGATTCTATAGCTGTGGGGTTGGGAGGCAGAGGCCAGTCATACCTGGAAGCAGAATCTTTGATGTGAAAAAATGTGAAATTATTCTCTACAGATTAATAAGTACTAGTGAGTTCATGCTTACCTTGCATATTTGGCAATCCAACATTGTGTGAATGATTAATTTAAAGCTCACAGTCCTATGAGGTGACTCATTTCACAGAAGAGGAAGGTGAGGCCCAGGTCTCAGGGCTAGTAAGTGGGGAGCCAGGGCCACACCCAGGCCAGGCCCTCTGGCTTCACAAGCAGAGATTATGAGGGAAGACAAAGGCCAGGTGTGGATAGCCAGGGGAGAGGTGGGAACACACACCTTTGTTTCCATAGCAGCAATAATTTCTCCACAGTTGTAACCTGCCTCCAGAAGACCTGGAGCCAAACTGCCAATAAAGTTAGAAAAGCTCCACAGTTGAGAACAGTGCAGGAAACAAAATTGAGATTCTCTAGTGCCAAGAGGCACGCTGTTAGAGGTGTCACTGTGCCAGGCTGCCTGCCCCAATCCTGTGAAGGAACAGCCCAAATGCTGCCTGCCTGGCCTGAGCCTGCAGCAGGGCCTCTCAGCCACATTCACCATTTATGGTATCTGAGCCTCTGTTTGGCCTTTGAGGGCCTGTACATCCCCCACACTGGGAGGGGCTTCTCATTCACGCAGGGCTGTTCTTAGAGCAAATCCAAACAGCCCTGGCTGAGTTCTGAACTGGGTCCTTAGTTACTGGTTTAAAACATGCTTGTGTGGGTAATCCAGGCTCCAAAACTTCTTAATCATTCATCTTGGAACCCCCATTTTGGATGGGACTATTGCTCAACTGGCTCATTCTAATCCAATCTAAACACGGGCAACCAGGGACAAGCACTGGATGGGTTGTGAGCTGAAATTAGCAAGAGAGCATCTCAGAAAATATAAGTCCCTACCGGCATTCTGACCCCTCTGCCAAGCACTGGAAGAACCCCCTGGTGGGGACCATGGGGTGGGCTGAGAGCTACCCCCTGACTCAAGAGATGCTGTCAGATCTGATCTCTTCTCCTCTTTTAAGTCTCCACCACCACATTTCCCAAGGTTCCTTCATTAGCCATGAAATCAGAACTGTGAGGATAAGTGGGATAATGTGTCCGTGAAAATGCTGGCTGACCAAGCTCCTAGGCTTGTTCTGACCCATGTGAAGGGCTTCCTGGAAGCCGGGGTAGACCAATTCATGGATGGTATACTTCACAGAAGCTAAGGCTCTCCACAAAACTAGACAAGTCCAGGGAGCATGCCTACTTGTGGTAGAAAGTCTCACAGAACCAGAGTCGGCCACATTCTGTCCGTGCCAGTTCCTTTATCCCTAATGGACTGGCATTGCCCAACCCATGGTGACCAGCCTCTTGTGTTGGGCCAGAGGGTGGGCAAGCAGGGAAAAGGACAAGGCACTGGGATGAGCACAGGCTTTAAAGTTACAAGTATCTGAGTCCAGAAGCCAACTTCCTTACTAGCTTGGTGTGCTTAGGGGAACTATATTCACTTCTTGAGACCTAGGGCCCTTCAGAGCACCCCTCCCACCCTGCCCCAGGTGAAGTCTACAGAAGATAGTACAGGTGAGGTGAAAGTCTTTACCACTGAAACCAGCAAATGGTCTTCTTTCCTTTCCCTTCTCAGACAGCCCTCTCTGTAGCATCCCAGAAGGCATCTGCTCCACTACAGGGAGACTTCCCCTAAGGCGCTGGAGCCCTGGGGAACAGACAGGACACATGTTTCTTGCTATTCCAATGCAGGTGGGGCAGAACACACCCACTCAGTCCAAGCACCTAGAGGACCCAGCTCAGGGTGAAGTGGGAAGTCAAGCTTACCTGAAAGCCCTGGGTCCAAGCAACACTTCTTCAGAAATTGCCCCCATGCCCGTCAATACAGAGAGATCTGTTTGAGTCCAGGGACCTACTGGGATTTCCTAAGACTAAGTGCGTGGAGGGGATCACAAAAGACCATGCTAATCAGATTACTGGGACACTAGGCTGGTAGCAGACAAAAACAAGTCCAGGTGGGGGTGGGGCAGAAGGAAAAGGGGTATAATCTGTGACCCTCAGAAACTTTATAACCCGTACACTGTTACTCCTATGGGTCATTGTGAGATGTGTGAGTCCTGGCTGAGATGTGGCTTCTCCCCTTGTGTCTTCTTTCAGTGTGGGCTGCTTGTTTTCCTACCAGACTGAGAGCTTCCTGAGCTAAAAGGGTCCTGGTTTCTTCTCACAGCCCCATGAGATGGGGGGCTGGCTTCTCATGGCAGACTGCTGTCACTGTGAACTCCTGGTCCTTCAGGTCCAATGTCCTACCTTCAAAGTAATTTGTTTACAACACATGTACTTCTAGCAAAGTGCCCAGAGACTCCTACCGTGGACCGTGACCCGGGCGCTGCAGGATGCTTGTCCCCAGGAGTTCTCCGCTAGACAAGTGTAGGTGCCATCATCCTCTGGCAGGGCATCCTGGATGCGGAGCTCAGCTGTGCCGGCCTCGCAGGTGGAGTGGGCATACTGGATGGGCTGCTCTGGGGTGGGGGGGAAGGGGGAGGAGCACAGCAGGAATGTGAGCATCGCCACCAGCTGTCTGATCCTAGGACACACGCGCGTGCCCCCTCACAACCAGGGAGGCCTCACAAAGCGTGAGGCCTCTCCCAGCAGTTAGAAAGGCCTGAGAAAGGCAAATGCCAGGGCTGTGAAGGAAAGGGAGCTATTGTGTGGGGTGAAGAAGCAAGACTGAGGCTGCAGGGAAAGGGATTCTGGGGGATTTAGAACCAGAGAGAAAGGGATGCTCTTCCAGGCATTCTGAAAATGGTCCCCAAACCCACATGCTTCCCCCCTTTACAGAATTCTGAGCCTGGAAGTCTGGCCCACAGTCCAACCTCAGGCAGAAAAGACCCTAGGTCACATAAAGGCCTGCCTGCAGACTGGAATGAATTCCAGTAGCTTCTTTAATTCTGTATGTTATTCCTGGGATTTTATCATTCTAGCAGGAAACTTTCATTTCCAGGAAAAAAAAAAAAAAAAATCATCTCTCTTTACTAGAGATTCTGGCCTCAGAGCAGGAATGTGTCCACTGGCCTTAAAGGAAACAACTGTCAGTTTCTTCCCTTGCTAGGCCCCAGGGTCCTGGTTTGCACTTCATACAAGTGGGCGTGGGCAGTGAGGGTGGGAGAGAGCACAGAAAGATGTCCTCTCTCTGGAACCAGTGTTTTCTTCTGCACATAGCAACATTTGATGTCTCCCTGACAGTTTGGCAACGAGACCATCCAGCATGTCATAGAACTAAATGAAAAAGATTCTATCCAACATACTATATACTTCAGAGAAGTAGGGCTGGGGCTGGGAAGGCATGGGGCCAGGATCCTGCTGCTGAGAGAATTGAACACTGCTCTTTGTTTATATTTTTTATGACAACAACACCCCTAAACCTTCCTTCATCGAGAATTCCAGAACATTCCACAATTATCCTCAACTGTGTCTTTGCTGTCAAAACATGTACTGATAAGCATTTGAGAACCCTTCTTTTACTGCAGCATACATCATTTTGGCCCCCAATATAGGATGGAATAGTGGTCCCAGAAAGACATTGTTGGCTTAGGGTACATTAGTATCAGGAGAAAACAAATCCTTCCAGCTCCAAGGCTGGGTTGTACCAAAGTTAGCAGCCAAGGAACTCCAACTTGAGTATGGGCGCCCTCTAGTGGAAAGGATGAGGAAATACCAAGATACATCACGAATAGGGTGAGGCTGCTTTTTAAGTTCTGAATGGTCTATTTAGACCAGGGGTCAGAAAACTATGGCTTGTGGGCAAAACGTGAGCCACACTTGTTTTTGCATGACCTGTAAACTAAGAATAGTTTTACGCTTTTAAATGACTAAAAAAATTAAAAAGAGTATTATATGAGGTGTGAAAATTATATGAAATTCAAATTTCAGTACCCACACATAAAGAGTTTTCCTGCAACTCAGGCATGCTCATTTATACATATTATCTATGGTTGCTTCTTTGTAGTTGAGTAGTTACCACAGAGGCTTCATTTCTGTAAAGTAAAAAATATTTACTATCTATCCTGTAGTGGTTATGAATCGGGCTGCGAACCTCAAAGTCAGCAGTTTGAAACTACCAGCTGTTCCTCAGGAGAATGATGAGGTTTTCTGCTCCCATAAAGATTTATAGCCTCGGAAACCCTGTACAGGGTCGCTATGAGTCAGGACCAACTCCATGGCACATAACAACAATAACAACAAATCCTTTTAGGAGCCCTGGTAGTGTAGTGGGTTACATGTTGGGCTGCTAACTGCAAGGTCAGTAGTTCAAA